TGCTGACGGAATTGCAAGACCCTCATCAGATGGGAATTCTGACCTTATACTCAGGGAAAAAAACTCCTTGTAGGCCCACTTCATTAACCACACAGATATAGATGCTTCCAGCTACCTGCCCACAGCCAGAGGTTTTTTTTGTTTTTGTTTTTTTTTTGGTCTAGTCTTTCCTTTATATTACAGGGGTGGGTGGGTGGGGGGAACCTATATCATAGGTTCCCAAACTTTTTCATGGAAAAAATCGACTCAGCACCCTCCTAGCCATTAAAAACATTTGTACTATAGTCTATAACCCACAATGAAGTTTAAGTATCTGTTTTTGCAGCTCTCTAGAGTCCCCCAAGAGTGCTGTCCCCTACTCTGGGAAATATTGCTTTACATGATGATAATGTAACTAATCCTATGCTCTCTCCTCTCCCGCCCTTCCAAATCCATAATTTGCTAAATTCCCTTTAGTAACCCTGAGAAGGATGCTAGCAGCATGTCCCCTCTGTTACACAGAAAACTGGGGACCACAGGGGTTCACCACACTGAACCAGAGGTCAGCTTCCTCCCAGAAGGCACCAGCCCCACCCTCCTCTGAGCAGCCCTTCTTCCTTCTGTCTGCATTATCATGTTGTCTACTTGTCTGAGTTGCCCTGTAATTGTTCTGCGTGAGCTCTCAGGAGCCTTAACTGGATTGTCAGGTCTGCAGACAAGTTGTCTGTCTTTCCTTTGTGACCCCTGCCTGGTTAATAAAGACCTAGGCAAGCATTACAACCTCAGTCCTTTTCTCATCCCACCAACCCTTCAGCTGCTAGGGATGGAGCTGAATACTAGGCCAGGCATGCCCAATAGCCCATACACCTTGCCAAATGGTAAACAGGTAATTAAGAGCGACCTTCTTGGTACTTCACATTCCCTCTACCTTATGCAATGGGTCCTGAATCACTGCTTTCTGATCCCAAAAGACAAAGGTCTGTTCATCTGAGGATTCGTGTAATGGGACTCACCCAAGAAGGCTACCTTCCTAACTTCCTAACACCTTCACTTTCTTTTGCTGTCTGACATAACTTGTTTTTTTGTCTCTTCACAGTCCCTGAAGTCACCCCAGCTAACGTCAGTGGTGGTGGAGGCAGCAAATCTGAGCTCGTTATAACCTGGGAGGTAAATGGATCAGAGAACAAAAGGCACATGCATTCGTCTAGGCAGTTTTGTTATTTCCTTCCATGTCCCACCTAGCTGGGAAGTTGCCTCCTCTGTGTCTAGCAGCGCAGACCCATCAGAGCACAAACGCTCCCTCTCACATAGATAATGGCAGGCAGGAAAAGATGGTGCTTGCCCATCAATCGTGGAGGCAAATTTTAATTCAATTCATTTCAGGGAAATAATCATGAGAGGGAAGACAACATGAGTGCAAAAAACATCATATCTATTAAAGAATCCAGGTTCAAAGAAAGCCAATGTTTCTTTTCTTCCTGGACTGCTGCATGGCCGATTGATTTAAAACATCTGCCAGCAATGATTGAGTGAGCCAGCATGATTTCCTGTGAATCGGTCCTGCTGCCGGAGCCCTCTATTAGAAAGGATTTTTAAAAACAACCTGAGGAAAGGCTAGTCACCAGTTTATTAAAAATTGATTTGGGGAGAGGAGGTGGGAGCTTTATAAAAGGTTCTTAGTGTTTGGGGAGGATTCTAAACAAGGGCCCTAGGAATTAAATTCTTTTATTTGCTCAAAGAAATCACCCACCCTCCAGCTCATGCTTCAGGTGGGGGAAGGAAGGCCGTGCCTGAGCTAGGATGAGCTGAGCTCTTCTGTGGGGTCTTCTGTTGTGTCTGCATTGCAGGAAGAGGAGTGCAGGATGGTACAGAGGGGAACCAATGGAAATGTTGGTTTCTACATCAAGTACCCAGTATCTTCTATCGTCACTTCCAATCCATTAGAACTGGGCCTTCCCTTTCCAGGAGCCAGGTTCTCCAGGACAGATTTTCACTCCGTTTTTTTACCCTGCCACCTGACCAGTATTTCATGAATACCTAAGGTAGAAAGATGGCAAGCCCCAAATCTACAAGCCTCTTGGCAAAACCCCAAAATAAGATCGTTAGAGAAGAGTGTAGATAAGAACGTTCAGGGAGAGGGAGAACAGCAAACAGTTCTAGTATTTGAATCAAGCTACTATGATTTCTGAAGACCACCTCCCCTCTTTGCCAGACGGTCCCTGAGGAATTACAGAATGGTGGCGGTTTTGGGTATGTGGTGGCCTTCCGGCCCCATGGCAAAAAGAGCTGGATGAAGACCGTGATGGCCTCAGTGGACGCCTGCAGATACGTGTTCCGGAATGAGAGCCTGGCCCCGTTCTCTCCCTTTGAGGTTAAAGTGGGTGTCTTCAACAATAAAGGAGAGGGTGCATTCAGCCCGATCACAACTGTGTATTCTGCAGAAGAAGGTATGCTCTCTGTTATTTAGATATGTGAGGGGGACTTTTGTTTGCTTGTTTTTTCCAGTCCTAAAACGCTACTGATTTTAAGATGTACAATAAATTTAACCCTGGGCAAGAAATTGAAGGCCTATCCTGCTTTGAGAATAATGTAAATAATTTGGTTCATTATCCATCTTGAAAACCAACTATTTCCCTGCATATAGAAACAAATGGCTACAATTCCATTGTTAGAGATCAAAATCCCAAGTACTATATAATATCATTTTATCCATGGCTATATAATCATTACTTTTTAAAGAATTATATTTCTATTTTTCCCTTTAAATGAACTTCAAGATATAATTTGCATCTCCTCTTATTCATGTCCATAAGCCATATAGTGCTTATCACTTATTTATAAAGAAGATTAAGAGGTGAAGCAATCTCCTTGTCTTCCACACTGTCCCCATGAGAAAAAGGGTCTCTTGCATTACTGTCCCCTCTACTCCCTGCCTTTAGACCGCCTCTCCCATGGTCTTGATTGCCATCAGAGTTCAACCGTGTTATCGGAAAGGAAACATCCAGAGTGAGACTATGTTACAACATAGACAATGATTTGGAGTAAATGAAGATGCAATATAGTCTTTTCCCTAACAACAGGTCTTAGACCCTGTGGTCCTCTGAGATTTAGTGCACACCAGGTTCAGCCTTCGCACTCACAGCTCTCCTCTCCATACTTCACGCTCCAAAGGGTTCACAGTTATTCAGACAAGCCCCAGCCCCTTGCACGCACTTCATCTTCTCTTACCCTCCTCTGTCTTATCCAGCTTGCGATTTCACATGGATCCTTCAAGTCTGAAACTAAACCACCAAGGTCTTCTCTTATTTTCTCGGTCCTGGCGTTGCATAAGCACTTCTCTTTCCTGGAGGATCTTGAGGTTTCCGCTGTTCTCATCCCACAGTATTATTAATTTTTAATTTGCGTTTTATATCCTCACTAAAGTGTGTTTTCTGAAGTGTAGGCCATTTGTTTTCCTCCTTTGTGTCCCCGGTGTTTAACTGCATGTGACACACTGGCCCTTAATAAATGCTGAATTAATTAACACATAAATAGTATCATACCCGTTTATAGACAGGCAAGATCTTGCAGGTCTTCTTGTTCAACATTTCCTGGAGCATCAAGATTATTCCAGAGAGAGTACACAATTTGACTGTAAATAGTACCAGATGAGCTATTTAAAATATGCAATAGGTGGGTGTTAATTTTAATTGCATTAGAAAAAATACAGTTATCATATCAAATGTAAGATTTCATAAATATTACTGCTTAAAGCACGACTAACATAAGCTGTTTGTAAGTAAGACTATTGAAAGAGAAACCTTAACAAATAGTATATAACAAATCTGGTAAAAATAACTGACATTGGAAGAACAGTCTTGGTCCAGCCTATTCTTTCGCTGCTGTGGATACTGAGACCCTGAAGAAGTGACTTCTCTAAGACCATCAGGGTCTGGTGCAGAACCAGACTTTCCCCTAGCTCTCCTCTGTCTTAGTAAAGTCAGCTGACTGACCTTTCCCACTATTCTCTCAGATTTCTAATCCAGAGACCAGACTGAATCTGATCGCCTCTGACCAATACTGACCAAGACAAATCCATGAAGGGAATTGCTAGCTCTGACAATTTAGGCTAAACCTTCAGTAACCTTGGATTACTTTCCTTCCAGTTAATTGTGGTTTGTTCAACTATAGTTCATAGCAACTCTGGTTCTCAGAATGGAAGTATACTGATTTTCTGGTAGTAAATCAAAAGCTGGCTTTGGGGGAAGTAGAGCACTAGATCTTTCCTCTGAAATGCCTCTGGGTAGACTTGAACTCACAATCATTCTGGTAGCAGCCAATGCATTAGCCATTTGTACCATCCAGACACTCCATGGTAGCGCCTCTTCCATCTCCACCTCCTGCCATACCACTCTACTCACACCCTTTCCACGCTTTTAACCATTGATCCTCTGCAAAATGAGTATCTGGATTATAGTCATTAAAGAAAATTCTATAAGCACATTTTTTGTACTTTATGTTGCCCTTCTCTGGAAACACACTAGAGTAATAACATATTCCATATTCATCTGTAGAACCCACCAAACCACCACCCAGCCTCTTTGCCAGAAGCCTTTCTGCAACAGACATTGAAGTATTCTGGGCCTCGCCCCTGGAGAAGAATATAGGGCGGATACAAGGTTATGAGGTAGGTAAGAGCACTTTAAGTTGTAAAAAGAGTCATACTCCTCTATAGGACCCCCCAGGCACACCCTGAAAAGAACCACATTCCCATTTCAGAGGTAGTTAGAGGCTTGACTTATACTGAAGTGCTAATGAAAGCGCTGAATATTCAGTGGTGAGACTATCCTTTTTCTGTCTTACACTCCAGAGATATTTAAAATGAGCTTTGACTTCTGATTTGCCTGGGATCCCTTGGGTCAAAGCAAAGGTGAGATGAAAGGGAATGTAGCAGGCTGTGTCAATTTGTTGTGCCTATTTGCCATCTCACTATGAAGCTAGACATGAAAGGGGGTTTTCCTGCTGGGGGTATTTCTCAGGACATACAAAGCTCTTCATTTTTGGAGTGTGACTTGTGAATTGGTACCGAATATTAACTCCATTGTAAGGACCCTGCAAACAATATTACCTCATTGATCGCCTCAGGAGTCTCTCCAATTGGTATGAATCCCGAGGTCTTCCTTTTTTATTTTCTCAGGTTAAATATTGGAGACATGATGATAAGGAAGAAAATGCTAGAAAAATACAAACAATTGGAAATCATACATCGACAAAGATCACCAACTTAAAAGGCAGCACACTGTACCATTTAGCTGTCAAAGCGTACAATTCCGCCGGCGCTGGGCCCTCCAGTCCACCTGTCAATGTGACAACTAGAAAGCCACGTAAGGACAAATTTGCTGAGAAATGTTTTGGGGATTCATCAAACGTATCCCAAGTTTGTGCCCGCCTCCCCACTCCAAGGGATTATTTGCATACTAATTGGTATAATAATTTGGATTCAATTTTACGTTAGCGTTTTAAATGAACCTTTTTGAATGCCATGCAGAATTCATTGCTCCAGAGGACAGAAAGATAAATGTTTTCTCCTCATTGGGAAGGGTTACTTCTTTTAGCTATAAATGTTAGGCGACCATCTGGATCTTTTTCCATTTGCAGCACTCTATCTTGGCAGATTTTAGTGACCTTGAAGACACATTTTAGTGCAATAGCCCATTAAATTGCCTCCACTCTCAAATCTAGTAAAGAGATATTCCTCAGAATCCATTTAGGCTTAATAATCTGTGACTTCGTATATCTTAATTTTTTTATAGCACCAAGTCAACCCCCCGGAAACATCATATGGAATTCATCGGACTCCAAAATTATCCTGAATTGGGATCAAGTGAAGGCTCTGGATAATGAGTCAGAAGTTAAAGGATACAAAGTGAGTAATTTCTTTCTTTCCTTTTTTAATTTTGCAAAGGCACAGGACCCTACTGTTGGTGGGAACCATCTCTTTTTATGAATCACAACAACCAAGTCCTCTCTTGCCCAGTGAGCCTCTCTAACCTTGTTAAAACACTGGCTATATATGAATTTTATAGATAGTCCAAGACAATGGGCCAGAATTTAAATAATCACCTAAATTTTAGGCTCAGACAGAATCTACCAGGTATAAAGACTCTGTGATTAGATCTCGAAACAAAAAAAGATGAAAAGTCACTTTTTTTTATTATTTCTATTACTGCTTTCCCTCCTTCCTGTCTGGATGTTATTTTTCCTAAAGCAAAAGTAGTAACTTCTGAATATTACTAATGGCTAATTATTTTTGTTTGTATGCTTTTTATCATAAGGGAGATTTGTAAATCAAGGAAGAAGTTAGGGTTTTACAGCAAATGCATTTGCCTGATATCACAATGGTGAGCTGGCCTCCAAAGACCTAAAAGAGCAAACACATAGAGTTCCACAATTAAAAGGAATGGCAAACATTTTTGATAGGGTATTTAGACATCTACAACTGCCTAAGCTATCACCCTAAGATTAATGAGCTAAAACAAGAAATTTTTATTTTTCCTGCTTCTGTGAGATGCTTGAGCAAAAATGGGCAGTTTTTTCTAAAGCTGACCAAGATAGTTCTTTGCACACAAGCTGACTTCTCAGCTAGGATCATTCGTAAAGCTTAAACTCTCCCCGCTTTACACAACGTGTCTCCACTGGTTGCTTGGGATTCCTCACAGCATGGTGAGGTCAAGGCAGTCGGACTCATCCATGGCTGCTGGGATAGAAGAGGAAGGAAGAAACAGCTGCCGGTTCTTTTTTTTTTTTACAATCATTCTATTGGGGGCTCATAAAACTCTTATAACAATCCATACATACATCCACTGTGGCAAGCACATTTATACATTTGTTGCCATCATAATATTCAAAACATTTTCTTTCTACTTAAGCCCTAGGTATCAGTTTCTCATTTTTCTCCTGCTGCCGCCACCTTCCATCCCTAATGAACCCTTGATAATTTATAAGTTATTATTATCTTTTTATGTCTTATACTGACCGATGTCTCCCTTCACCCATTTTTCTGTTGTCTGTTCCCCTGGGAGGGGGTTATATGTAGATCATTGTGATCAGTTCCTCCTTTTCTCCCCCCACCCTCCTCTTAACCTCCTGATATTGCTACTCTCATTATTGGTCCTGAGGGGTTTATCTGTCCTGGATTCCCTGTGTTTCCAACTCTTAACTGTGCCAATACACATGCTCTGGTATAGCTGGATTTGTAAGGTAGAATTTGGGTCATGATAGCGGGAGGGAGGAAGCATTAAGGAACTAGAGGAAAGTTATATATTTCCTCGGTGCTATACTGCACCTTGACTGGCTCGTCTCTTCTTTGTGACCCTTCTGTAAGGGGATGTCCAATTGTCTACAGATGGGCTTTGGGTCTCCACTCCACACT